ATAATAAAAATAATAATAATAATGAAAATTTATATTGTGCCTAATGCCTAGAAAACTCCAAATGTTGTAACTAAATTATCTCTCAAATTAGTTAACGAAACTTTGTGAAACCATTTAAAAACAACAACAGCAACAACAACAACACACACATACACACATACACACACATACATACACACATACACACACACATACACTCACACGCACACACACGCACACACACACAAACACACACACACACATACACACACACACACACACACACACACACATATTACAATAATGTAGTATGTGGAAAGAAGTGGTTTTAAACATCCAGAACAAAACCCAAAGCAGAACTATGTAAAGAAACATTACGCCAGCAGCTTGTTTCATCTCTCATGGATGCTACAGCTGAACAAAAAAATCCCAACAGAAAGAAACCCCCTCCCCTCCGTTACCTTGAAACAAGGGGGAACCACAACACAAACAAAGCACAGAGAAAGCCGCACAAATATGATGAGAGAGAGAGGATATATCTATGGCGAGATTATAAACACCACAACGCGCCCCAAAACCCAGATCCCAAACAACAACTCCCCCCAAAAAACCCTCCCCAGAATGAGGTCATGCATGTAAAAAAGAAACCACGCACACACACAAAAAAACAAAAGAACAAAAAACAAAAATCCCAACACAGACACATTGTCAAAATATATATATATATATATAAAACAGAAAAAACAAGAACAAAAACCGACCACCAGCCTCCCCCCCCCCAAACCCCAATCGTATTCCTGAATGAAACCTGCGACATTTGCCTCATGAGTAACGCCGTGGATTTGTCAGTAGTCTTGGGGCATGGGTTCCCATAGCCTAGATTTCCCATAGATCTAAGAACTGCCACCGAGTGCAGCCAGTTTGGTACGGTACACAATAGCTCCTGACGTCATTGAGTTCGCTCCTCGGAGACGTGGTTTGCCCGAAGGAAGGGAACATCTGGGCATGCGTACTAGCTAGTCGTGGAAGTGGTTAGACGAGGCAGGGGCGGATAGGGAGGTGGTTTTTATAGGAGATGGTTCACTTTATGAATTCAGACATCGTTATAGACAGAGCCAAAATCAGGTGTTGACATAATTGTAGCCTTAAAAAAACCAGGTACATAATGAGGGACCTTAATTTTTCAGCTATTTCAGAGTCTAATTCAGCTGTTGCTGGATCGATAACAACAACAGAGTCTAATTCTAACTAGATCTAAAGTTGGTTCTCACAACTGAGATAGGTGCCAGGCTCTTTCGCCCCTTTGACCTATGTATCAATTTGATTAGGACTCAGAACTTTGTGAATAAAACCCACATGCCTATTGCAATACTTTCTTGGTCATCTAAGAAGCGAACTTTTATTGAGCTGTGACGCTGACAAACTAAAACAATCCAAATGGTGTGAACTAGCATTTATGTTCTAGTCTATCATATTATAGGTTCAGTCTACCGCATATAGGTTCAGTCTATCACATATAGATTCAGTCTAACATATAATAAAGTACAGTCTATCGTGGTCGCTTTTAAGGACAAACGGGCTAACCCAGATTTTGGGGGTTTCCTGAAATCTTGACCTACACCAAAAATGGGCATTTCCCTACCTATAGGAGAAGTTTGATTTCATTGGTGTGTATATTTGTTTAGTTATCGAGAAAACTCTCATTTCTTTTTAATGAAAATGAACAAGGTGCAAAAACTTTATCTTCGATTTTCTAAAAACAGCATTTTTCGGGATAGCCCACTTGTTCTTAAAAACAACTTATTATAGGTTCAGTCTATCATGGATAGGTTCAGTCTATCACATATAGGTTCAGTCTGTCACATATAGGTTCAGTCTTTCACATATAGGTTCAGTCTATCCTGGATAGGTTCAGTCTATCATGGATAGATTCAGTCTATCACATATAGTTTCAGTCTATCACATATAGTTTCAGTCTATCACATATAGGTTCAGTCTATCACGTATAGGTTCCGTCTATCCCCGCCCCTGAAGCCAGGCACATGGAACTTCCGGTTGAGAGAGCGTGTCTTCCAGCAATATGCCGCCACAGCATCTGGAACAACGTAAATGGCGCATGGCATTTGAGGATATTTACACATATGATCGCTCGGTGGGACCGGATTAACCCTTTTCATGACGGGATCAGCTACCAGGGTATAGAGTTAACATTTGGGAATTGTTCATGAATAGGAGTTATTTCTTTTTCTAGTCAACTGCATGTTACAGTGGGTGGTTGGCGGGTGCTCTTGTGTTGTTTGCTCCTTTCCTATTAAACATCTATCATCCCTATCTCTCCTGTGGGTGGTTGGCGGGTGCTCTGGTGTAGTTTGCTCATTCTTTCCTATCCAACATCTATTGTCTTTATCTCCCCTTTTTCTTTTTTTATGTTTGTTACTCTCTTGTAACACCTCTAATCTTCTGGCGTTCAAATGACCTAACGCAGTTGCGAGCGCCGTAAAACCTCTACTAAAACTAAACTATCTCTCCTCCTTCTTTTTTGTGTTTGTTACTCTCTTGTAACACCTCTAATCTTCTGCACTTATATGACCTCATTGTGTTGCAAGTGCCGTAGAACACTTACTAAAACAAACAAGCATGTTACTGTTAGTTGTTTGCCATTTATACATAAGGAGACATTATGGGACACAGAGTTGTCACAGCTCATAATATCAACACGTCAGATTCTTACAGGGGCGTGCAGTTAGTTCAGGTGGTATCATACAGGACGGCCCTAGTTCGAATCCCTAGCTATGTCTCTCTCTCTCTCTCTCTCTCTCTCTCTCTCTCTTCTCTCTCTCTCTCTCTCTCTCACTCACTCACTCTCTGTCTCTCTGTCTCTCTCTCTGTCTCTCTGTCTCTCTGTCTCTGTCTCTGTTTCTGTCTCTCTCTCTCACTCTCTCT